CACAACACAATGAACGTGATAAATGCCATGTGTTTTGAAGGAAAAAGAAATCGATAATAATGCTAGCTGCATTTGGGGAAACTATTTTTTTTTTTTTAACAATGCAATCTTGCTTATTGTCCTTCTCAAGATTTGCAAGGCCATCTTTGAGCTCTGAGTCTTTTTCCTTTGCTTCCTACTACCAAACACTACCTCTGCAAACCGACTTATGATAAAAGGCAACTCAAGAAATAAACTCTGAAAAGAACTTCTTTAATCACAAATATAAAAGAAGGAAGGATAATCTGCCTTCATTGATTTCAGACTGGGGAAAAAAGTAGATGTACAGCCCAGATAAAAACACATAAGAGGAATGTAAGCCTAGACTGAAAAAAATATATAAAAAATGTCCTCACAGTGCAGGCGTCTCGACTGAAAAAAAAAGAGTTGTATTGATTTTTTTTAAATAGGCAAGCCTTATTTTACATGTGTTAGCCTGCCATCCTGATTCAGAAGCAATAGTTTTAAAGTGATGCACGTTGTGCAAAAACCCAGTGTTTATATGATGGTACCAAAGGGCAACGTGCTGGAAATATCAGCTGACATTTCCCCATCTAAAACTGCAAATAAGAGAGGAAAGGTCAACCTACATAACAGCAAAGGTCATTGTATTTTACAAGAATCTGCACTCTCATCTCACAAGAAAAGGTCAAATCATTCAATTAGAATGCACACATTATCCCTAATCTGTTTATTTTGGGCAAAAAATACAGATTATTGAGGATGATTTTTATGATGTGACATTCACATTGCTTTGTTTGCGCTTTCAAAAGCTTTTCAGTGTGGCTAAAAGCATTTGAAGACCTCATACAGAACAAGACGTTTGTGGCTTTTAGGACATTTGCTGAAGCTCTAAATGCTTCTGAAAGTTTAGAGTAATTTAAAAAATTTAGTTTGCATGTTTTAAAATAGTTTTGCTTTACTATGACTATGTGTACACTGTAGCTAAGTTTGGTTGTCAGTGCAACCTGTGAAGCAAAATAGAGGTTAACAAGGGAAAAACAACCACATTTAACAAACAAATTAACTCCAGAAAAAACTAACAAACAGTTAATTACATTAACAAAAAGTATATAGAACAAAGCTGAAGACGTATTTGTAATGTATACGACATATTCTAATGCAAGTCAGGAATTTGCCTCCATGTGCACAATAACAACCAACTGCAAGAAGCAAAAATAAATAAATAAATAAATAAATAAATAAATAAATAAATAAATAAATAAATAAATAAAAAATCACAAGATGTATCGGCAAGATTATTTCAAGACTCATATGCCAGATTTATCTCAGCAAACTCAAACAAGTTCATAATAAACCAGCTTAAATTCTGAAATATTTATTTTCCAGGTAACGCCAGCATATGTCCATTTGAATAGCTCAAAGAAGCTATTTTTTTTTTTTTTTTTTTTTTAATTGGGCATGGCAACGCAGCAGCCGTATGATCTTAATCAGATATTTCACCAAAGAATTTGAATACTGTAATTAATTACTCACCCTCATCCTGTCGAAACCCATTAGACATTTAATCATCTTTGGAACAGAACTTAAAATATTTCTGATGAAATCTAAGAGCTTCCATAAAAGGGTCAAGGGTCATGAAATTTTTAAAGCCCGGAAGAACATCATTAAAACAGTCCATGTGCCATCATGGTTCAACCACAATTTTATGAAGCTGCAAAAAAGTACTGAAGAGAAGAAATTGTTGATAGAAGTCTAAATTAAATTAAATTAAATTAAATTAAATTAAATTAAATTTCTTCTCTTTAGTGTCAGTTCAGGTCTTGTGTTCATAAGAACAATATGTGTCACTCTAGATTTATATTGACCTCATCTGTATATTTTCGTCTGAGCATCAGCAAAACAGTCCATGTGACGTCAGTGGTTCAACCACAATTATATGAAGCTACAATACTATTTTGTGCGAAAAAAAATGAATTGAATTAAATTAAATGATTAAATTTGTATTTCTGTATATTCTGATTTGAAAATGGACTGGGCAAAAAAAGTAATACCCTTTGTCGAAATCTTAAGACATATTTATGAACACTGTTCCCCTTCAGATGGGGAACTTCAAAGCTATAAGTGGATTTAATCCACGTATGGGGATTTCGTTTCAGAAAGCCAATCGACGGAAAGAGTATATAACGGGCCAATGAAATGCCAAATGAGTTGGCAGCGTTAGCTTGCGCACCTGTGCCTTATTGCAATCAACTCTGCATATAAGCACATGGAAAGCAAGGCAACGCTATCCTTTTTGCTTCAGAGACTATTACAGCCTTCTGAGAGAGTCGATGAGGTTTCCTACTGCTGATATCCAGCGATTTCGAGCGAACGAGAGCAGTCTCCCGGTCCAGAGTGTGTACATGCAGCGGCAGACGGTCGAGCTGGGTTTCTCCCTTGCCTGGCGTTCTTTGGGTCTGGTCCTCCAGAGCGGTCCGTATAAAGTTGCAAATTTCACAAAAAGAGCAACACAGTCGTGCAGCACATCCTTTTTAGGATGGGACTCCAACCATGCGTTTCTAGATGCGGTGGTTTCCTTTCCCCGGATAATGGGCACGAGCACTGCGTTGCATGTCTGGGGGTCCAGCATGTTAATGCGGTGCTTGTGGTTGCGATGCCACGACTGTTGCGCAGTTAAGATTGCGGCTAGCCCTTGCAAAAGGGCAAACCATCCCAACTGTCCCCTGCACTGCAGTGGGCAATCGGGCAGATCTGAGGGTTCCAGTGGGAGATTATCCGTCGCCTCCAGGCCCGCGATCCATCCAAGCTTCGAGCGGAGGAAGCGATCCGTCTAACCAGATGGTAGCCCTTACATTCCATGACACCAGGGACCAGGCATCGGAGAATGGGCTTTCATTGTCCGATGATGATCCAGACCCGCTCGCCCCCTCCGGGCAGGTGAGCACTGTCAAGACGGATCCTGAAACGGACATGTTAGCCTTGCTTTTCCAGGCTGCTTCTGCCGTGGGGTTGGAGATGGTTTATCCCCCAGCTCTGCGGCCAGACCGACTAGATGGGTGTTAAGTAGAGGACCAGAGGGCTAAGCCTTCGAAGCCTCTCGTCCCCTTCTTCCCGGAGGTGCACAGTAGGCTCACGCAGTCTTGGAGGGCACTTTTCTCTGCCCATGCTGCATGTTTCTCCGCCCTCACCACTATTGACTGTGGAGCGGCCAGGGGGTATGAAGCAATTCCTCAGGTCGAGCACGCCATTGCGGTCAATCTTTGTCTGTGTGGCGCCTCTTCTTGGCGGGGTCCGTCTCGTCTCCCGTCCAAAGCCTGTAAGTTATCTGCCTCCCTCCTAGCCAGAGCTTACAAGGCTGCGGGCCAAGCTGCTTCCAACTTTCCAAGCTATGGCCACCTACCAGTGCTACCAAGCGCAGGCGCTGGCCTGGCTGCACAAGGGTGGGTCCAAAACAAGCTTGCTTCGCAAGCTCCGCACCGAAACCGACTATGCTCTTCGGACCACTAAGTCCGCTGCGTGTGCGTTGGGGAGGATGATGTCCACATTAGTGGTCCAGGAGCGCCACCTCTGTCTAAACCTGGTTGATATGCGTGAAGTTGACAAAGTCCGCTTTCTTGAGTCCCCCATATCCTAGGCTTGCTTGTTCGGCGACACCGTCGGTGAATTCAGCCAGGAATTCAAGGCAGAGAGAGAGCAGTCTGATGCCATGGGTAATATCATCTATCGGAGGAGCCTGTAAGCCCGCTCTGCCCGCCAAACCATCCACATCTGCTGCTCCTCGCCGAAGGTGCCTGACTACGAGAGCTGCCCCGCCCCTGCACGCGCCTCCGGCGAAGTGGACATGTAGAGCACCTCGAAAGCAGGCAGCCCCCGCTGCCCAGTGAGCTGTTAAGTCCGGTAATGGTTGTAATATTTTTTGGTATATTTTGCTTGAATTTAATTGTAATATCTTTCAATTTCTAGATATATTTGATAACTAAAATATTATTTTAATCAATATATCTGTTTTGTTTAGATGAACCAAAATACATAGCCTGTATTCACTAAGAAATGGATGAAAATTTTCAGTTTCAAAATGGGGTGTACTCAATTATGCTGAGCTCTGTATATTTAGTTGAAAATCTACAAAATGTCTAAATGGAACATGACCCAGCTTTACTTAATATTCTTATCATTTTTGGCATAACAGAGAAATGTATCATTTTATCCATATAATGTATTTTGTTTATTTACAAAAAAAATCCTGTACTATATAAGACTAGTTTCGTGGTCCATGGTCACAATTCCAATTGACTCTTTGGATATGCCCAGCCTTTCTGAGTACCTGCTGTCTAGTACGAGCAGATTTTCACAGTTTTTCATGTTAATCGCAGATGTTACTCTACTGCGCTTGCCTGGATAGTCTGACTGTTCTGGTTGTCAGAAAAAATGGAACACAGTGACATGGGCATATAATCACAGCATTATGATTGACTGAATTTCCTGTCAATCAAACTGCCTGCAAAGGGTCAATTGTTGAATGGTTGTTATTGATTTTTTATTTATTTTTTGGCTTCATAAGATTATAGTTGAACCATGGCTTCAGCATGACAGTTTTGAAAATATTCTTTGATGAGGATGATGATTAATTTCTAGTATTTGAAAAATTCATGATGACCCTTGCTGTCTGTGAAGGGTCATATGAATAATATATGTATACACTACTCTGGCATTGTTAAAATCTTATCAAAACGTAACCCACACAAGTCAAAACTTCCTGTTTCATTGGTAGACACTTGCGATTACATGCACGGTCTGACTTCCATTGTGCAGTGAATCCGAAATGTCTCGTCTAGAGCCACAGTAACAAGACAACACTCAAGCCAAACAGGAACTTCTTTAAAGCTGCAGTCCTGTGGTTAAACCGCTCAGGTAAAATCATTTTCTAGTACTCTTTAAAGCCCAAGTGCATCATGCAAGGGTACAATAATGACACATCTTCTTTGTTTGGTTCTTACCTTAAAAATTAAATCCTTTTTGCCATACCTCAGCTCTTTCAGTTGGGCTTGGATTTTTTTGGACTGCAAAATGAAGATAAGAAAGAATGTGTGTTAGCTTATTCAAATAGTAAAATTGGTTTTAGATTGTGTAGCGGGGCTTTTTTGGGGCCGTGCCGAAGTGTTCCTTTGTGAACACTTGCAGGCAAAGCTCCAATTCAGAAAAGAAGAGACCCTCGGTGAGCAAGAAAAAAAAAAGTCTTCTCTTCAGTGGACTGCAGGGACCAGTCCATGACGCAAACACATTAACACATCAGCACACTCCATGCTATGGCATTGTCTTGGCCTGCTGCCTGTGGATTGTTGCCACAGTTGTAAACATTTCACAGACACACATACACTCTCTTTACTCTACAGCCTCTCACTAACTGAAGAGTATGAGCCCCCACAAAACAAATGAGAGTTCAGGCAAAATTACAAGACTAAAATAGTTAAGTAGTTAAAATAGTTAAATAGTTTAGTTAGCTACGTTGCCATTATATAACAGTTAAATCATTAAAACTTTACATAAAAAAAAAAATGTTTTATCAAACACATTACAGTCACTTTGGTCCATTTCTCAGATTAGAATTAAAATTCTCAAAACTACCTGTTTAATCCTCACATCTGTGCACATCAGAAAAATAAATACATAAAAAAAAAAAAAAAGTTTCTCATTTCTCTGAGCAAGTTGCAAACACTTTTGTACATCCATGCAAATGATTACGCACAATTGTCCTTAATTAAAATTAATTAATAAAATAAAAAAATTAAAAACTGCTTTTACTCTATTTTATTTACCTAATGTTTTGCAAATTTTATTTTGATCTGAGAAATAGGATTGCTACAAATGTTCAGAACAGACATACATGTTACAAAGTCATCAAAAAATCTTAAAACACATTACATCTACTTTATATAATTTTGAAATGATTTCTGGCTTTTTAATGTACATATAGCTTTTTAAAATTTAAATTTTATATGTATGTATGTATATATACATATATATATATATATATATATATATATATATATATATATATATATATATATATATATATATATACAGTTGAAGTCAGAATTATTAGCCCAATTTGAACTTTTTCTTCGTTTTTAAATATTTCCCAAATGATGTTTAACAGAGCAAGGATTTTCACAGTATGTCTGATAATATTTTTTTTTTCTTCTGGATAAAGTCTTATTTGTTTCATTTTGGCTAGAATAAAAGCAGTTTTTAATTTTTTAAACACCGTTTTAGGGACAAATTTATTAGCCGCTTTACGCTATATTTTTACTCGACTGTCTACAGAACAAACCGTCATTATACAATATCTTACCTAATTACCCTAACCTGCCTAGTTAACTTAATTAACCTAGTTAAGCCTTTAAATGTCAATTTTAGCTGTATAGAAGTATGTTGAAAACATCTATGCAAATATTATTTACTTTCATCAAGGCAAGGATAAAATAAATCAGCTATTAGAAATATGTTACTAAAACTATTGTGTTTTACACAATACTATAGTATTGGTCTAATAATTCAGGGGGGCTAATAATTGTATTTATTTATTTATTTATTTTTATTATTATTTTTTGACAACGAAGAAACTTCTTTTAAAAATATAACAATCTTACAGATGGAAATGATGAATATGGAAACAATATGCAAATGATCTGAATTAGTGCTAAATTCTTCAATTAATAACATAAATATTTTATTATAAATAAATGAATTTGTTCAGTTAATCAATTATGCATACTAATTTATATAAATACATGTTCTTAGGCATGAATTAAACTAGTAAAGCATGCAAGTAAATTAGTAATAAATAAGTGAATCATTTATAAATGAATACATTATAAATTAAAAATATATATTTCTAAAACAATGAACATCCAGGTGTTAAAATAGGCATAATTTCATTTTTCCATGCTTAATAGATGGATATAAATATTGTAAGAGCATTTTCCACTAAAACTGTGCCTCAGTGCAGCTGAACCCACCTCTTCTGCATGAATGTCACAGAGCTTGTTCCCGGACAGAAGTTTGTTCTTAAGGCTTTTATTCTGCAAGACAGGAAAAGAAAATAAATAGAGATATACTGTACAGACGGCTTTGTAACATCAAGCATGAAACAAGCCCCGACGTCTTGTTTTATCTACATAAATACACTCAATTTAATGGTAGCCCTGTCCCTGCAGACAAAAGCAATGCCTCAACCGTTCCCATCCAGTTCATTTTGACAGTTCCCTCACAAGCTTATTGAAGCTCAAGGTGACCCTGGAGTATATGCCTCATTTCTGTAATAACCTGCAGTGGATGTCTTTATGGAAATAGATGATGGTAGATTAAGAATCAATACAGAGATGATGGTGGTGCTGAGTTTAATCTAGTGCTTTTCCCCACCTCCTTCTCCTCTTTTTTTTCTTCTTTCTCTGTTCGTGTCCTTTTGCTTTTATTTTTTCCTCTCATTATCTCTCTCTGCCTCAGTTTCTCACTTCCTTTGTCTCTGTGTGTGCTCTCAGATGCAAATGTGCATGCTTTTACTGACAATGTCACCCAGATTCAAACCCACCAGGGTATTGATTTTTATTTATTTATTTATTTTTGATAATTGCAGTCCAAAAAGTGATGGATATTGTGTACCACTAGTGGTGTTTTTGGTACTATATTGCAGTGAAAACACACCAGCAATCATGCAATTAGCGATAGTGCCTGCAGAAGTACTTTTATCTGTAATTATTTTGGTTCATAATAGCTGAATTTTGAGAAAACATTCAATATTAACACAACGATGATGCACTATAGCCTTTATATATCTGTGTTCATTGTAAATAAAAACAGGTTTTGTGACAGCATGACTGTGCTTATAATACCTTTTCAGTCTGTAACAAACTAATGATTAGATTGTGAAGGTTTTCCAGAAACATTTGAACAGTAGTTCATATATATTAGCAGTTTTGATTTTGTAATAATTACATTTGAACCTAACCTAACTTAACTCATGCAGTATTTAACCCATTGCTTTCTAATGCAAGGACACTGCAAGTACATGTTAATTACACATAATATAAAATAAGCACAACATCATACTTAAAAAATAAAAAAAATGCTGAAAACTCAGATTAAAATCGCTTGAAATAAATAGATGATGTGACAACTGACATTGTAATTAATTGTAATAATATTTCACAATATTAGTTTTTGCTTTATTTTCGATAAGAAAATTTTATACAAATATGTGAAAAACTATTAACAAACTTTACAGAAAATATTTATAGCACTTCATTTTTTCCACATTTTTATGTTACAGCCTTATTTAAAAATGGATTAAATTAATTTATTTCCTCAAAATTCAACACACAATACCTCATATTGACAATGTGAAAATGTTTTTTTTTTTTTTACTGTTGCAAATTTATTAAAAATGAAAAAACAGAAAAACCCCTTGCTCAAAACTTGAGAGAATGTTGATGTACCTTTAGCAGTAATTACAGCCTCAAGTCTTTTTGAATATGATGCCACAAGCTTGGCACACCTGTCTTTGGGAAATATTGCCAATTCCTCTTTGTAGTACCTCTCAAGCTCTAGCAGGTTGGATGGGAAGCGGCAGCGTTCAATAGAACTTAGGTCTGGGCACCGTCTGGACCACTCAAGGACATTCACCGAGTTGTTGTGAAGCCACTCCATATCTTTTAGTGATATTTTAGTGGTGTGCTTTGGGTCATTGTCCTGCTGGAAGATGAACCGTCGCCCAAGTCTGTGGTCAAGAGCACTCTGAAGCAGGTTTTTATTCAGGATCTCTCTGTACATTGCTGCATTCATCTTTCCCTCTATCCTGACTAGTCTTCCAGTTCCTGCTGCTGATAAACATCCCCACAGCATAATGCAGCCACCACCATGCTTCACTGTAGGGATGGTATTAGCCTGGTGATGAGCGGTGCCTGGTTTTCTCCAAACGTAATGCCTTGCATCCAATCCATAGAGTTAAACTTTAGTCTCATCAGACCGGAAATGTAGTTTCTTATGGTCTGAGAGTCCTTCATATGCCTTTTGGCAAATTCCAGGGGGGGAGTGGCTTCCGTCTGCCCACTTTACCATACAGGTCTGATTGGTGGATTGCTGCACATATGGTTGTCCTTCTGTAAGGTTCTCCTCTCACTACAGAAGAACGCTGGAGCACAGACAGAGTGACCATTGGCTTGTTAAAATCATCCCTGACTAAGGCCCTCCACCCCCGATCACTCAGCTTAGATGGCCGCCCTCCACCCCCGATCACTCAGCTTAGATGGCCGGCCAGCTAGGAAGAGTCCTGGTGGTTCTAAACAAATTCCACTTACAGATGATGGAGGCCACTGTGCTTATTAGAACTTTCAGAGGATCAGAATGTTTTCTGTAACCTTCCCCAGCCTTGTGCCTCAAGATAATCTTGTCTCGGAGGTTTACAGACAATTCCATTGTCTTCATGCTTGCTTTGTGCTTTAACATGCACTGTCAACCCTGGGACTTTATATAGACAGGTGTAGGTCATTTCAAATCATGTCAAATCAATTGAATTTACCATATGTGAACTCCATTGAACCTGCTGAAACATCACAAGAATGATCAGTGGAAACAGAATGTACCTGTGCTCAATTTAGAGCTTCACGTCAAAGGCTGTAAATACTTATGTACATGTGATTTTTTTTTCCAGGTTTTTTTTTTTTATTTTAATAAATTTGCACCAATTTCAAAAAAATCTTTTTTTTTTTTTCACATTGTCATTATGGAATATTAGGTGTAGCATTTTGAGAAAATAAATGAATTTAATCCATTTTGGAATAAGGTTGTAACATAAAAAATGTGGAAAAAGTGAAGCGCTATGAATACTCTAGAATGATTCTAAAAGGTTTTGTTTCCACTACCTGTGTGACAAAAATTTGTTAGAGGTCACACTGGTGACACTAGTAGTTTTACTAAAGCACTGCCCTTTTCCTGCGAATGAGAAATATATATGCCTTACCAAAGTGGAAGCATTCAAAAGAAAAGAAAGCTGAGAGTGAATGCATTAGGCATGCTCACTTGTACCAACTTGTAAAAAGCATTCACGTCCTCTTACAATTATAAAGCGGAAATTTTCTCTTACTTGTTCCATGTGGCAATTGTACCACCTGACTGCGTCAGATTCATTTAGATGATGTTTTTAGGCTTTTATAGTGTGTCCATTAAAAAAAGATGAATTCTGAGTCTGAGGGACTGAGAAGGGTAGACTGTGAAGTGTTGTCATCTTGAAAGTATATGGTAATTAAAACACAGTGTGATTGCACTTACTTATGTACTGCGCTGACCAGCCACGGTCACTCTACTTTTAAACAACTCTAAGATCCAGTGAGAAGTGTTTGATTTTTTTTTTTTTTTTTTTTTTTTTTTTTTTTTTTTTTGGTTTTACTGAAGTTGTATTTTCAAATCAGAAAAGTCTTGGTGACTTAATTTAGTAAGCGCTGTAATTCTTAACACTGTGGCAGAAAGCAGCAAAAACATTGTCCAACTATAGTCTAGTCTTAAACCACAAATTGCCAATATTTACTATGGTTTTACTGTTGTAACATTTATGCAACCATTGTAGCATTGTAGTTGTTTTATTAATGTATGAAATACATTCATAAATAATAGGAATTAATTGTTTGATTTTTTGTTTGAAGTCAGGTTAAAGGTGCAATAGGTCTTACTTGTTCTAATTGTCCTATAGTTGTTGAAATAATTGTTATTATGCTGGTTGAAAGTTTCTTCACATCCTGATAGCAATCATTAAGTTGAATAGTCTAAATGTATTTATATGTATTTTACTACTATGTGCAAGGTATAGAACCAAGAAAAATGTGTGCAATCCAAAGTTTAGTCTGAATATATGACTTTTTTGCCTGTATAAATATGTAATCGCATACCTCTGCACACTGTTCACACATAAAATATTACTGTACATAATAGACAATTTTCATATTTCCGGGTTTCTGAGCAGCAGAAGTTGTCATAGCTGAGTAAACTTAGAGGAGAGTGAATAGGAGAGTACAACCATCTTCTTTACTATCGTATAGTGCATCCAGATTGTATTCATAGTGCTTCACTTTTTCCGCATTTTTTTATGTTACAGTCCTATTCCAAAATGGATTAAATTCATTTACTTGCTTAAAATTCTACACACAATACCCTATATATTATATATATATAATATATATATATATATATATATATATATATATATATATATATATATATATATATATATATATATATATATGTCACGGTTGTGGTGGGGAAAAGGAGCGAGGACTCAAGTGCAAAGAAACAATGGGTATTTATTAATAAAAATAAAAATAAAAAGCAAAACAAAACTACCCCGAGGGGGAAAACATTAACAAAACACACAAACTTGGCTCAACAAGAACAAGGCAAGACTGGATCAGGAACACGGGGAGTGTAGACAACGAACTCGCAAAGGACTGAAAACATGAGGGGGATTATATAGCAAAAAAGTAAATTGACACACAGGTGAACACAATTAACTAATAATAGGTTGACAAGGAGGGTGGGACTAGACAATAGACGGGAGAGCGCATGACACAGAGAGACAATACAAGCCATGCGCTCACATAACACAACACTGAAGCACACGACAAAAGCACGTGACCACAATGTAAACACCGAGCCACGTGCTTTGACAAAAGACGCAAGACACGAGCACACGATAGATAAACACCTTACCGTGCACTCACACATAAGCAACGCGCATGCTTCATCTCAGCGCCAACCAAAACTGAAACCAACTAGACTGAGGCGCCGAGAATAAAGCAGCGCGCTGCTGACAGAACAAACACAAACACTAGTACAAGAGCGCGCGCGTCTGAGGGACGCAGAGCGCGCGCGGCCACATCATGTGGCAGCGCGCACACTCTGCGTACACCCACGACGGCGCGCGCGCACACAGAGACAGAAACAGGACCAGACATTGAGTAGTGTCAGAGCTCTGCCACCAAAACAAGAATTTACAAGACCAAAGTGGCAGAACCCTGACAATATATATATATAT